TGAGAAAATCAGTTGAAGGGACAAAATGTGGAGTTGCAATAAATTTGTTTAAGCCTGGTTTCCTGGTTTCTCAGAAGAGAGAGCAATAAGCACAGAAGACCTTATTTTAATAGCCCCAGCGACTAAACGCTCAACAGAGCGTCTTGTTATTTCTAAAACTGTTCTCATGTAAAGAGAAAATAAAACAACAAAATAAAGAAACCAGAACTGGAAAATCAATGTGAGCGTTGAGAGCTTTTTCGATTATGCTATGCTACACAAGTTCACATATTGAGGAGGAAGAGAATTCCAACGAACACACAAATGACTGTATTATGCTAATTTATATTTATCGTCCGCATCGGTAACTCCTGTAACTTGCGCAGTACGTTGCACAAAATAAGTTACTGTAAGTTAACTTACTTTTCTGTTGTATCGCATCCTTTACATATTAAAAGTTCCAAAACACTGGACTGCTTCAGACTAGCAGCATAATGTACAGGACTTTGCAACATACTGTCCACAGTGTTTATCAAGTCAGGATCTTTATTGAGAAAAAACCTCACAGCGACCACTGATCTGCTTTTCACAGCCAAATGGAGGACTGACCTCTTGCTTATCTTCGTTTTTAACTTCATTAATGAATTATCATATTCATGAAGTATTTCTAATGACTAAATGTAAAAAAATTCAAAAATAAGATTTTTGGTGACTTCATTTTCATCTCTCGAAATGCTGGTCCAACAATACCTCAATATTTCCAATTACAGCTGCACGATGAATTGGAGTTTCTCCTTCATTATCTGCTTGATTTAAAGCCTCTTGAATGGATGCTTTCTGTGGAAAAATTAAACATATTGCTTTTTAAAGACTCCGCTATACACTAAACGGGAGAATCGGGAAGAGACACACGCGGTCGATAGGGCGACATTCAGGTTTGTTACTTGTGCCTGAATCACCAAAATGTTTGCCACATGAATAAGCTTGCGTCACCAAAGAAAACTTGAAAATGATCAGGTCTTTGCATGTTATCGGGTCTATCGTGGGCACTTGCCTATACTTTTGCCTAGATAAATATTAGAATTAATATTGTAAAACTTAACTGTTTTAAGCTGCTTCAGTATCTTTTTTAAAACATCTGGTTTTGAGACTGCATAATGGAACACATTTCGTTGGAAATTGTCCGTTTCTTTGACATCAAAATCATTCAAATTTGTTTCTTGGAAAAATAAAGACGTCGAAGATGACCCACGTCGAACAGCTCTGAAAAATACAAATCACGTTAATTAATTTAAGATTTATGAATTTTACTTATAAATAATTAGTCTTCAAGGTATGTAATAAGTATGGTAATCTGCGGTAGTTGGTTCCTGAACTGCCTGAAACCTGAGATTAAAGTGTGAAATAATGGTTTCACAAGGCCCTATAATATTTAGTAATATGCCTGGCAAGACGTTCAATTTAAATTTTACTAAGGTGCAGTTATAATTACACGTTAATTCTTATAATACTTTTGTTCGTGGAAACACCACGTAAATTTATTACTGCAAAGCTTTCGATCCGTAAGCCCGGATGGGATTGGGCGAATGGGCGAGCTTTCGTTGAAATCCGCATTTTGAGAAATTTGAACTCAACCGCGCAACTAAATACGAGGCGACTTGTAGCAGGTCTAAGTGTCAGTGATAGTTGATCAAGTTATATGCCCGGGGTTGGCTATCTTAACCTAGCTCTCCAGGTTACCTTATAAGTGGGTTTGTGGAACCATCCTCAGATCTAGCGGAACTGGTTCTCTTATTTCCTGTAGGTCTTGTAGATCTTGCATCTTTACTTCTGTCATCTTTATTCAAAATCTTTAGTTCTAACTCTTCATCTTCATTGATTCGATGCAATGGTTCTTGTTCTTTTTCTGACATCTTATTTCTTAAACAGAAATAATTTCAACACCAGTCACCGCTTAATACACTCTTTAATTATGTTACTAATACTTCCTTGGCCCGGGAGTCTCGTTCTCGTGAATTCGTACGTGACGTAATTATCGAAAGGGCGTATATTAAGGTGGCTCGATACAACTGTCTGGTTATACCACAGTTTGATATTGTTAAATTTCGTTGTATTTTTAGGCTTTATGCAGCGGATATTGGGATGATCATATTTTAAACTTTCTTCTTAAGTTCTTTACTATGGCAATATAAACGCGTGCGAAATTCACTCCAAAATAGCCTATTGCCTCGTATAGTTTGAAAAGAAGCACGATGATCACCAATTTTAGTATTCTTTCGTGCATTATTTTATTTAGAGCGTACTAGACTAACAATAAGCAAAATCATTTTTTTGAAAACGGCAAAAATTTGATCAAATACTTTTTGCATTGCAGAATTTTTTATGTTTTGTATAATTAATATATTAAAGACTTTTACAGTACAATACAGCATGCAAAACTTAAACAGGTCACCGGACAAAATAGTGAGATATAGCGCAAAGTCTTTTCAAAAATTGAATTTCAATATGATGTCAGCAATCCGACCATGTAACACGCTATAGACACAGAATAGACTATACAGAAGCCCGATTCTTGGTTTTTCATATGATTTTCCAATGATTTTGGCATAACCGTAATTCGTCATCAAAATGCTGACGCCATGGACCTAGCCAGTGCGCGTTTGAGAGGTATTCACCCCCCCTGAAAATATGCAAAATGGCCGACATCCAGGGGGGTAAAGCCTCTCATAAACGTACTGGCTAGGCCCATGGCGTCAACATTTTGATGATGAATCATGGCGTGGTGGCGGTTACTCGAGTCGACCTTCGATCTGTACGTCTTTATTCTGTGCTATAGAACACGCGCACTGGCGCGAGATGGCGTGAGTAACTAATTGCCATGCACGTCAGGTCAGTTTGAAAAATCTTTCGTTAATATTCCCACGCATATGAATGGTCACGCTGGTTTGTTATAGTGTAAAGTTTTGTTTTCGCAGGAGACTTTGCTATTAACCCTGGTCCCTGTAATGTGGAAAAACAATACGGAAAATATGGAATTTTCGGCTGAGCTTTCCGTATTGTTGAGTTAGACGGGTTTGTTTGTGATGGTACGTGCAGCTTGCATGGCCAATGGATCTTGCCAACTGTGTCTCCTTTCCCCTCCTCCGCCGCGTCGCCGTGAATGTCAGTTGATTTTAAAGCTGGATTTCAAGTGCTTCTACTAAAGGTATAAACTATTTATTTTTGCTGATGCATGCTATGACCTAAGACAAGTATATTTCCTTCAACGATAAGTATTGATTAGTGATACATTTTAGTGTAAAAATTCAGAATATTTTTGAGCTAATCGTTAACATTATTATTATGAGGTCGTAAAGTATAAACTGCTTTTTCCGATAAACGTTAACTGTTTTTACTTAATAAAACAAAATATAAGTTCAAATTGTTGAGTAATTTCAGTTCGGTTTTCAAATTAATTTGCTCTCCTTTACATTTTACAATTTTTTGTTAAATTAAACAGGGTAATTTAGCAAACTTTAATATAGCTTCATTGAAAAGGAAAGCAGTACTGCATGTTTTACGCAATAAATTAAAGCAACAAAATTAAATTCATAAACATCAAACATTCGATTCAGAGCAAACTTGCCCTATATTTCACGATTTTCCACAGCAAATCAATTCTTCTCATTTCTTCAAACAAAAATTGCTTCAATTGTGTGAAACGTGATTTTCCAAATATATGCTTTTAAAAATTTAAATCTTGCTTATCCCACTCCTGGCAAACAGCCATATTTTTGAGATCAGTGAGTGAGTGAGAATGACCATCCACGGAGCACGGTTGGTGACCCACGCCCGCGATCATTGATGAACTTCAGGCCATTGAACTATAAGTAAACTGGAAGGCTAACTCAGGGGGAGGGGGGAATTGAAGCCGTGCTTTGTAGGTAGTGGGGAAAAACATATTGATATGATATGTTCAAAAGTCAGTGCGGGAATCGGTGCTATAAGACGTATTAGGCCCTTCGTATCGTCTGCGACACTAAAATTGATGTACAATGCTATTGTGCAGCCCTACTTTGATTACTGCAGCCCTCTCTGGGACAACTGTGAATAGGCCTCAAGGACAGGTTGCAGAAATTTCAAAATCGGGCTGCAAGAGTAATTTCTAGTACGACTTACGATGTTCGGTCGGTTGATTTACTTGAAAGCCTGGGTTGGAAACACCTAGAACTAAGGCGAACTTATCTAAAATCTGTTTTTATGTATAAAATTCTGAATAACCACACCGCACCAAATCTAAGAACATCCTTTCGATTGAATAATGAATGTGATAATACCTTTGATCTTAGAAATAGAGAAACCGATTTGTCTCTTCCTAAACCGAATACCGATTCTGGTAAAAGATGCTTCAAATATAACGGAGCGGTAGTATGGAATAATTTACCGTATGAGGTAAAAGTAGCGGAATCTTTAAGTTCTTTTCAAAGAACTATTAATCAGGCAAACACTTTAAATTGGCTCGTCCTGTTGCCTACTGTATATATAATTCTTCTTTCTTTGTTTTTGTATTTTTAATGTTTACCTGTACTGTATATTTCTTCAAATCACGCCCCTCATGGAAATCAGCTCCTAGTTGTTGAGGCCAGCGTGCTTAAATAAATTTTTGTATGTATGTATGTATGCCAGTCCTGTTTTGCAAATTTTTTTTCAAAAATACACTTTATATATCGATAAATTTTACTCCTATAATTTCCTTTCCCCCTTTCCTTTTTCATTTTAGAGCATACTAAGACAGTTAATCTTTTCACTCAAGTACTTACAATAAATAAACATCGTTCAACTGCTAAAATATTACAGAGCCAAAATAAAATTTGTCAAGAAACCGCGCGAAAATGTTTGGTTTTTCTGAGTTATGAGACTTTTCAACAAGACTTCGAGATTTTATGATACAAATTATGTAGAAAAATATTAAATACATTTGCAAATTTATTTTCAAGTACCCACGACTTACTTTTGACAGTTAAAATAAGCATTACCAAAGCTAGTTTGGCTGCCATATAAGTGCTCATATAAATGCCCAACAAGAAGATGCGATGATGAAAATCAGATCACGATCACTTGAAAAAGTCAATTTATTCATGTTTCAGAAGGAATAAAACAAGGACTAAAAGCTCAGGATAAACAACAATACCTGGGGTTTAGTACAAACTAGGGTTTTGGGACGTACTATCAAAATGTTTTATAGTTTTTTTTTCGAGTTGAAGAGCGAGGTTTCCTTCGGCACGTCCAAACTTCGTCATTTTTTCAAAATACAAAAGCAAAACTCATCACTTTTTGCTGTAGAGACATGTAAAACAGTCTAACTAATCGGAAAACCTGGTTTGAATCCCAATCATTGCAGTATTTCCATGGAAAAAGTGTTTTTCTTGCACATTTTTGCTCGAAAACAAACTTTTGATCGAATTTTTTCACTTCTCGAAACTCGCCTTAGTCCTTTTGAAAGCTGATTTTCCCGCGCAACGGCTTCAACGAATCATAGACCTTCATCATAGGAGTTAGCTTTCCAGTTTACTTATAGTTCAATGCTTCAGACTCCGCTAATGCTTCCCTTTCCCCGGGTGTAAATAGCCGGGCGGAATTAGTACCCTCGCCCCGGGCTAACGCCCGGCTATTTACACCCGGGGAAAGGAACGCACTAGTAGCGAAGTCTAAAGCAACTCTAAAGCAGTGGTCTAAAGTTCATCAAATATCGCGGGCGCATGGTGTATGGGTGGTCATCTCACTGATCTCAAAATATGGCTGTTTGCCAGGAGTGAAGAAGGGAAAAATATAAAAAGTACATGTAAGAAAGCTTGGAAAATCGTTTCACATAACAAATTGTAAAACATTTTTTGAATTTTTAAACGTAAACACTGATAAGAATTGATTTAGTATGAGAAATCCTAAAGTATAGGGCAAGTTTGTTTCAATTGTTGATGTATGACTTTGCATTATTATAGATTTTGTTCTTGGTGTTTAAATCATTCCTATACATTGTATACGAAAGTTTCTTAGTTAAATTAACGTTTGTAGAAGTTCATGATAAAAAGGAAAGTAAATTATTTTCATTAGCGTCCTGTTCGAATTAAATTTATTTCATTTCAAATTGCGAGTAATAAGTTGAAGCTCAAGAAGAGTTGAAAGGTTTAATATCGGCAAAAAGCAGTTGATTTCAATTCACATTTAAAAACGTTTTCGTAGAGTTTCGTTTTGAATTTTACATTAAAATAAAGCCCCAAATAATATACCTACTTTGTATATTTTACAAATTGATAGTTCTGTATTTAGGGAGTGGTCATTATTTATGGGGAGGATTGAAAACGTTTCTGACACCCCCTCCCCCTCCAGACTGAAAGCAAACTTTTTGTGCCCCCCCCCCTCATAAAAGTAGAAACTTTTCTGAACCCCCCCCCCCCCAGTGTGGATTGAAAAATTAACAGCAATAAAACAGGTGTGCGTTGCAGGTAAAGTTAGGGGTCGATTACATGGGCGAGTTCTCCCGGCTAAGCGAGTTGACTCGCTTTGCCGAGTTGACCCGCTTCTTATATGTATTGTCTATTATTTTGACATTTCGATTACATGCAAAGCGAGTTGTCCCGCCTTTCCGGGACCGCGGCTGTAGCTTGCCGAGTCAACTCGCTTAGCCGGGACAGAAATTGCCAACACATCCCATGTAATCGCTTCTTGCCGAGTTGGCTCGGCAAAGCGGGCTGAAAACCACACTTATTCATGTTTTAATTTCGATTATATGTACAAATATAAGTTTAAAAAACTTCAAATAACATCAAAATGATATTAATGAACGTTTTCAAGGTTTAGATAGGAAGCGACACAATTTTGTTAGAATACAAACAGTATAAGCCTGTTGGGATCAGCGCTAAGTATAAATACCTCAACCAACAACATTCAGTGGGTAACGTAGTCCTCAAATACAACAAATACACCATTTTTAATCGATTTCTAACACCGAGTATTAAAATGTTAAGCATTACAAATCTTAACGAGCTACTTCAGCCCGGCTAGCCGGGTTAGCGCGGTGCATGTAATCGCAATTGAAAAGTCAACTCGCTTAGCCGGGACAACTCGCCAAAGCGGGACAACTCGGCCCATGTAATCAGCCCCTTAGATATTAGAACAATCTGTTTAATCTAGCTCATGATGTTTTACTCTGGTGAATATGATTCAACCATATGTGATTAAAAATATATATTATGTGTTACTACTTTGCAATGCAACATTTGTCCTACCATAACCCTAACCCATGGCCTGCCTTCATGCAGCGAAATGATTTGAACACAGGGCTTTTTTTACGAACTTGTCTGGGGAGGAGGTATCTACAAAAAGGGACCATATACTATACTGAGTGTGGAAAGATGACAGATGGTTGTTGGTGAAAAAAAGTTTGGTTTGGTATCGTATGTACTAGTAGGGGTCTGGGGGTATTGAAATGTGAGCATTTTCTGAAACAGATTTTTGGATATACAGCGTTACATTGTGCTTTGATAGACCGAATCTGATCAGTTAAGTACTTCTTGCACGGTATGTTTACGTAAATACCCCAACTGGGTCACTCAGGGGGTAGGAAGCTTGTTAAACTTAGTGGGCCCAACTCCCACAAGGCGCTACCATGGTTGGCGCTGAGCAGGAGTCTTTAGATCGTTGGAAATGGTATTTTCAGAGTCTTCTTTACCTCTTTGGCATTATGATTTGTGAGTCTATGCTGTTTGTGATTATAGAAATCAGAAATGTAGACATGGTATTTAAGTTCAAAAACTTTTTTGACCCCCCTTTCTCTAGGTTAAAACCTTTTTGACCTCCCCTCCCTATTTATAAGGGTAAAACGTCGTTTGCCCCCCCCCCTCCCATTTACAACCCCCCCTCTCCCCATAAATAATGACCACTCCCTTAAAAGTGTTCAAGTTTCATCTATTCAGTTGCAGGTTTGAACAAAAAATTAAAAAAAACAATTATCGTGTTGCCATGACTAACATGACGTGCGCAACGCGAGCCTGCGTTCAGTGTTGGCGTAATTACGAATACTTCATGTTGAAACAATGTTTGGAGTATAGGGGAGGGGTTGTCACATGCATGTATTTCTAGTACATCAATAATTTGAACTAACATAAAGCATATACGATCAATTTTCGCTACTTCTTTATGTGAAGCGGTTGCCTGACCTTAATATAGCTTCAAACACTCATTAATAAGCTTATTGGCAAATCATGTCAAGACAACCATATATGTCACGTGAAGAGGCTTAATACTTGATGTGTGTAATTAACACACATCTTCATTAGTATTCTTTATATACTAGTTTACCCACAGGGTAGTGAATGCTGCCTTGGTATAGCATTGTTCCCAAATCTTTAAATGAGATTTTTTGTATGTTACGTAACACGCGCTCAAAACTAATGCGTATAATATACCACATGAGATTATGACTAAAATCAAAATTTTTATTTTTCGATACGTTTCTCAATCGGTAAAAAAAAAACTTAAAAAGTATGTTTAGTGCTTTATCTGTAAAATAATGCTAAAATGAAGAGATTTTAGATGATACGCCAAAGAGATAATGATGTCTGAAGTTCAGTACGTTTTGCCTGTAAATATAGCGTCAATTTTAAGGCATCATTGATAATTGTATTTTAATTGGCAATTTTTAACTATTATTTTATGTTTCTCAACTGGCAGACGCATTTAAAAAGGTAGCTAACTCTATAAACTGTAGAGAATAAAGCTAAAACAAAGTAATTTTGAGAGAAACGCCAAAAAGATTTTAGGTTTTGAACACTTTTCATTGCAAATACGTGACATTGAAAAAAAATTGCCTCTCATACTTTAAAGAATATAAGAGTAAGAAATATTCGTAATGAATTGAAATCATCCATAATTTATACACTTGAATGTGCCGTATGATAACTCGGCGCTCGAAGTTTCGTATCGAAAGAGGAACAGCCGAACAGGTACGATGGCTAACAAGAATGAGTGTACTTATCAACTTATCTAACGCGAGGAAAAGATCAAAATGGCAGGTATGGCTGTGATATCTAGTATATAAAATTGTATAGACAATTTGCCCACAAATACGGTGCTAGTTCAAAACGGCCCAAAGTCAAAACGGCCCAAAGTCAAAACGGGCCAAAGTCAAAACGGCCCCGCTTCAATAATCATATGATTTAGACCAGGGGTTAAAGGGCAATGACAATGACATGCAGGTGACATTTAACATGTGCGAGTGTGCGTCAGTGTCTCACTAAATTTGCGTGTTTAATAATGTTTATCAAAGAAGGCAAAAATATATACAAGACAACCTCACATGTGAAATCTGTTCACTTACGCACTGCGTTGTGATGCAGTACAAGTACAAATACAAATGACAAAGCATTTTTAAAGGCTTTAAATCCTAAAACATAATTAAATGATACGGCACATTCAAGATTTTAATATCGTATTTCAGCCGCGTTTATACTGCTTGGCGCGCATTTGCTGCGTTATATTAATTTATATACCTATGTTATATCACAGATTTATTACTAATGATAATATATAAGAACTCACAAAGTGCAGTCACCTTTTTATAAATAAACCTTTTTAAAAGCATGTCATTGTCATTGCAGACCAGAGGCAAAAAGCACAGCCACATAGGCCTACCAGATTTATTAAGCAATCGTGAGATTATGTACATGGAAATAATATGGAAATTATGTTAAAAGCACCCCGTATAATGACGAAAGCACCGCGTATAATGCTCGAACCACTGCGAATATGGCGAACGCACCGCGTATAATGGCGAAAGCACCATGCACGTATAATGCTCGAACCACTGCGTATAATAGCGAAACCACCGCTTATAACGCTCGAACCACTGCGTATCGATAAAATGCCGTTTGATCACTTACGCCAGCTAGTTTCCATAAAAGAAAACCAAAGATGAAAGATGATCACATTGCCTGTTTGCCTTATGCCTGTTTATTAGACAAGAATAGCCTGCCGGCCCGGAAGCAGTGCATTGTGGTAGGCCGAAATACGCCGAAACGATCGAGATTTCATCTGCCTTATATATATATATACATATACATGACTCATACATAAAGATTAGACTGCTGCCTCGCTCGCTCGCTTCACGCTCGCTCGCTACGGCAGCAAAAAGTCCATCCTAATTAGTATTCTTCATATAAAGAATGCTAATGAGACGGCATCTATTGTAGTCGTGTTTGGAGTACTGTTTAATAAACGAGCAGTGTTTTATTAGGTTTAAAGCCACGAGCGCGCAGCGCGAGTGGCTTTAGACCTAATACACGACTACAAATTCAATAGATCTACTGCCTTATTAGTCAATCTCGTTCCCAGAGTATGCCTGTTCGCGAACAGGCATACTCTGGGAACGAGATTGCCTTATTAGTATTCTTTATATAAAGAATACTAATGAGGACACGACTACAATAGATACTGCCTTATTAGTATTCTTTATATAAAGAATACTAATTAGGAGTGTTTTATCACAGGAGGCCCAGGCTCGATATGCCCGCGCCCGCCTGTGCCTTCCTTATATTAAACGAGGGAAGGACGGAGACATTGAGACCAAAATAGCCCAGACTTGGCATATGTCACACGAAACTATCCTCGATTTTTCGCTTTTAATGCATTTCATTCACGATTAATCGATATCCCCTGCAAGAATGATACCATACGTATAACTCTCAAAACAACGATGCTTTAATCAAAGAGCTTAAATTCGCTCTGAAATCCGTGAGGGAATAACAAAATTCGGCCAAAATATATCCGCGTGCCGGGTTTGCTGTGCAAAAAGCGGAAGTCGTTGAACAACTCAAAATACACTCAACCCTGATTGGACAACGAATATCAACAAACATTTCAAATTTTTTTAACAAACACAATGTGAAATACAATTTATTATACATATTAACGTACTACAGGTATATTTACATGCAATAATATTTACACTTTATAACGTTTGTGAATAGTTTTGATTGTATGATTGAAATTATTACAGTTCCGCTTTTTGCACAGCAAACCCGGCACGCGGATATATTTTGGCGAATTTTGTTATTCCCTCACGGATTTCAGAGCGAATTTAAGCTCTTTGATTAAAGCATCGTTGTTTTGAGAGTTATACGGTATCATTCTTGCAGGGAATATCGATTAATCGTGAAAGAAATGCATTAAAAGCGAAAAATCGATGATAGTTTCGGGTGACATATGCCAAGTCTGGGCTATTTTGGTCTCAATGTCTCCGTCCTTTAGTGATGGGCGATACCGAGTATTCGGTATTCGATACCAGCGATACCACAAACAGCGGTATCGGTATCGATTACTGACGTGGTATCGTTCGATACTTGCACCCTTTTCTAATTAAATGACTTGTTTAATTTCACTTCTTGGTCGAATAAGATTCCATTACAAAAATAAGTGTGAATTTGGAAAAAATGTGGTTAATTGACAAAAATTTTAGAAAATTATGGAAAATTTTTGGATTTTAGGAAAAAAAATTTTGAGAAATGGGGAAAATTGCTGATGTCCGGAAAATTTTGGGTATGTCCGAAAAAATTTTTTAATCCCTAAAATGGTACACTGACAGAAATTTTTTGGCGACGGGGGGGTGGAGGTAGGTCGCATGCTTTTCCGCTGACCGGCAGGTATCGAAAGTAGCGATACTAGGAATTTAAGTACTCATTTCCGGTATCGAAAATTGAAATTTTGTGTTCATTTTGGTATCGAAATAGGTATCGGTATCGGCCGATACCGATCTTAAAAGTATCGGTATCGGTATCGAATTAAAAATCCTGGTATCGCCCATCCCTACCGTCCTTCCCTCGTTATAAGGAAGGCACAGGTGGGCGCGGGCAAATCGAGCCTGGGCCTCCTGTGGTTTTATCAGGTTTAAAGCCACTGCACGTGACATATTATGGTTGACATGATTTGTCAATTAGCTTATGAATTATTAATGAGTGTTTGAAGTACTGTTTAAAACACGCGCATGAGTGTTTTATCATATTTAAAATCTTGTGCTGCGCACTCGCATGACAAAGCACATCCGTGTCCATGTATTCACTCACGTCGTAGCCCATTTTATAATAGAGAGTTTATGATCTACGACGCGGCCGGCTCAACGACAAAAACTGTGAATAATTTGTGATCCCATGGGTATTCTGAACGGCTTTGTCATTCTCAATACAACGTTAAACTATAAGGTCAAAATTACAGCAAACATTGCATCGCTTTAGTCGAACTTAGTCGTTTGTAAGGTTATTTGAAAAAGCTTTTAAACATTTATTTATTTAATCAAATTTGCTTTAAATTAGAGTCGAGTATAGTCCCTAGGTCTTTGACTTGCGAAACTGGTTCAAGGCTTTTCCCAATAAAATCAATACTAGGGGTATGTTCCAATTGTTGAATTAGTTTTTGCGATCCAATAAAGAATGCTAATGAGACGGCATCTATTGTAGTCGTGTTTGGAGTACTATTTAAAACACGCGCAGGAGTGTTTTATCATATTATTTAAAATCGTGTGCTGCGCACTCGCACGACAAAGCACATCAGTGTCCATGTATTCACTCACGTCGTAGCGCACTTTATAATAGAGTTTATGATCTACGACGCGGCCAGCTCACAACGACAAAAACTGTGAATAATTTGTGATCCCAAAGGGAATTCTGAACGGCTTTGTCATTCTCAATACAACATTAAACTATTAAGGTCAAGATTACAGCAAACATTGCATCGCTTTAGTCGAACTTAGTCGTTTGTAAGGTTATTTGAAAAAGCTTTAAACATTTATTTATTTTATTACAGTAATCAAATTGCTTATAGCGCTCATTCTTGAGCTGAAATTCAACCGCGTTGAGCCGGCAGCGTCGTAGATTGTATTATCGTAAAATCTTCAATATTAATAAACCTACCTGCTCTTTGTCGTAATTCTGTAATATTTCACATCAATATACAGAGATAAAGATACAAATAAATACAGATACAAGTAAATATATCGCTAGCCAATACACAATAGATCTTCCTTGACTATTTGTACATAATCAAGTCAGTTCAGAGTTGTACCACAGTACCGGTAGCCGTATATGATAGTCACATAGTAGAATGAAGTGCTAAATTGCATGCCCTGCATGTAAACATGCATGCATGCACTCGAGTCTTAATATTGTTCACTAAAAATATATATAATTCAGTTGCACGATATTGATATTAATTATGAATGTAGCTATGTATTAAACTCTGCACACCTGAAAGATCTAATTCAAGCTACTACTTTCATTATATCTTATATGTCGTGTGAAATATTTTTACTCCATATTCTTACTTGTGATCACTGTCACTGATCAGATCTCTTTCCTTGAATTCGTGCCTGATGTCTGACGCACTGTTCACTGCCTTTTACTGTCTTAATAAATCTGTAATATGTAGAAAATTGGTACATCCATGTAATTTAGGCTTGTGTCAACCATTTCAAAAGCACACCTTGTTTTGTTTGGCCTGAACAGGATTTCAATTTTCAATTTCAAACCTCGTCTTAATTAGTCTCAAATTACCTTAATTCGGCATACTGACCAATTAATAATTCATAAGGCACAAACAGTATATGGGAATCGAGAAATGGTGTAACTTTAACCAACTATGCTTTAAAATCAGATTGATTTCGTGCATGTGATTGCATATATGCTTCGGCTTGGTAGTCCGGGTGTCAACCTGGGAATCCGTGATAATTTTGACCAATGGTTGAGGCTATTTTTCCAGGGGCATCTAATATCAATGTGAAAGGAGGGGGGAGGTAATTGCACACTATAAAAGGTCAATAAATACGTAATACATTTGTGTACAAAACAATGCAACAAAACATAATAAAACAAACCCTATTTTTAGGAGCCTGTCCTTGCAAGTGGAGTCAGATCTAAACGTCAACAACGCTACGTACGTTGCATGACGCTACGTTGGACTCACAGTGAGAATCAGAAAAATCATGGTTCACTGAGCTCAGACTTGCGAGTTGCGACAAGTAATCGAAATGAATTTTGACCAAAGTAGTGGTCTTTTTGCCTTTTTAATCTTACGCGTGTCATTATCAATCCGCTATATTGATTATTGAATTTAACTAGGAGTGAAACTCCAAAGACAAAGTATAAATATGTAAATATAAACTACAACCTCTCTGTTCAAGATTGCGTGACCAGAAGTCCAAGACCGGAAGTCGCCCACGTGTTTTTTTTGTCAGAAATTGAACATGAAGTTATGAATTGAATCGAACCATTAAAGTGCTTATGTCACAAAAACTTTTTTTTATATTTGGTAGAGGACAAAAAGTTAGTTAATAGGTTCTTTAACATTTTTCGGTTTCCTATTTTTATTCGCGAGTTACGAGGCTCTAAACAGCGATTTTCGTAAAATTGTCGCGTATCAACAAGAGTCTGGGACGAGCGTGGTGATTCGGAAAGCACTCATAGTTCTCAATGTGACTCAGAATACAGTTATATTCCTGGATATGTTATAGAGGATGAATGAAATGATACTAGTCACAAAATCGGAACTCTAGAAGCAGTTGATAGCGAAATTTTAGGCGATTATGATGCATGCCTTTATGCCGATGAACCGCTAGCAGGCGAAGAATGGTACGCACGATATCTAAAAAAATCAGCAGAACACAAGCAACAAAACTAGATGCTACAGCGAAGATTAGATGGCCTTGAAGATATTAAATTATGGGGAGTGTAAACAAAGATTTATTTTAACATTTTAACGTAAAATAAGTATCTCTGACTAATATATTTTGCGGGATACGGGCTCATACGGCATCAGTCACATCAAAGAGTTTAAACCATGTACACTTCCATCACCTTCGCAAGAAAATACAAGACACGAGATCAAAGAAAATATAAACCGACTGGTTCAGAGCAAATTACGTATATATTCTTGTTTGAGGCTACAGTGTTTATCTGTGATCACGTTTATTTAATACGAACGATTAAACGATTGTATTTTCTCGCAAGTTTTCTTAGAGCCCATTTTTCCAAGCAAATAGGTCTGAATCCCGAGTGTAGAATGATACAGCAGTAACAGCACGGCGGCTGTGGTACATCTTCTTAAACCAAGTTATCCTTCAGAACTTCCCCACATTTACAAGATTCCATCTCCTGACAGCACCAAGCTTCGTGTGTATATTGTATATGTAATATGATTGTATTATCACACAATCGCCGCATTTACACTTGCGAAATATGATACAGGTGAGGAAAGTGATATGACTGATGCCGTATCAAAAATATATCAGCCAGAGATACTTATTTTACGTTAAAATGTTAAATAAATCTATGTTTACGCTCACCATGATTTAATATCTTTAAGGCCGTCTAATCTTCGTTCTAGCATCTCGTTTTGTTCCTTGTGTTGCGCATGGTTTTAGATGTTGCGCGTAGCATTCTTGGCTTGCTAGCGGCTCCACCGGCATAAAGGCAATATGCATCATAATCGCCTAAAATTTCGCTATCAACTGCTTCTAGAGTTCCAATTTCGTGACTGGTATCATTTGATTCATCCTGTATATATACCCAGGAATATAATTGTATTCTGAGTCACATTGAGAACCATGAGTGCTGGAAAATATATGTTTTCCCAATAGCTTTTTAGTACTCCTTCACATGTGAATTCGAACTTCCGTCCCTTAAGTTACGTCACACGGCTCTCGCCCCAGACCCTTTTCCGTTTTTTTCTCGGGCGCGACAATTTTTCGCTAAAAGCCAATTTTTCAAGGTTTAGAACCTCATATCTCGCGAACTGAAAAGAGAAAACCGATTAACTAACTTTTTGTCCTCTACCAAATATCAAAAAAAGTTTTTGTGACATAAGCACTTTAATGTGTATTGTTTATATTAGATTGAAAATTAATTAAGAGTACGTTCAATAGAGTTTAGGGACCGGTCATAAAGTATTTACTAGGGGGTGTGGAGGATTTTTTTTTTTTGGGGG